TCCCTCCCTCCCTCTCTCTCTCTCTCTCTCTCTCACCCTTCCTCTCTCTAAGCATGTCCTTGGGTAAGGATTTAATAAAAAAAAAAAGATCCCTTTGAGTTCTAAACATTCTGGAGCCTCCAGAATGTGAATCCACTCAGGTTCGTAGCCACCAGGATGAGTTAAGCATCGCCCTCTATGGGCTCCTCTCCCAGTGACAAAAGAATGTGCTGAATTCGTTCATCCCAAGGGTGTGTGGGAGGGTGCGGTGACTGGGCTAAGTGTCTGCCAGGACTGTCTCTCGGAGTTGGACTTTCTTTAGTTGTGTCTGCAGAGAAAGTGGAGTGGCCTGCCTCCCCATGAAAGGGCTGCTGCCTGCAGGAAAAGGCCGCTGAGTGAGCTGTGAGGAAAAGCTTTGGGTGCTATGAGAGTGAAAGTTTGCCATGCTTTAGAACAGTTTAGAAAGGTGGGGTGGGAGGACAAGCTCCTTTCCCGGTACTGTCAAAAACAGACATGATTTCAGGATGAGGTAATGATTTGGAAGGGTCCAGGGACAGACACAGAAGAAAGCATAGGAAGGCGCAGACTTGAGCAGTTTCCCCTGGAGAGCTCCGTGTGGGACTGCACTTGCTCTCTAGAGGTGCGGGGGGTTTTGACTGGCCCAGAGTAGATCTGCTGACCTACTTCCAGGGTCCTGGGACCCCAGGGAGGGAGAGGAAGCCCTGTGGCATTCTGTTAGGCTGGCCTGCTCTCCCTTTCTCTGAGGTTGTAGCCCAAGCTCAAAGCATGCCCTTTGTTTCTGGCTCTCCAAGCAGCTCAAAACCAGAACTAACTCTATACCCTTCCTCCACCGCGTCACCCCTGCTAACAGGATTCCTGGGGTGGACCCTCAGCGAGGGGGCCCTGCCTGGGTTTTCAGATCCCCCCCAGCCAGCCCTCCCCCAGCGGGGAGTGAACCTACCAAAGCAGCCTCTCCCTAACCAGGCCCAGCATCTGTCTGCATGAGCAGCAAACGGCTTCCCTCGCACCTCAGGAGGAAGTGTTAATGAGGGGAGCGGTGGGGAAGGGTTGGGCCTGCCTGCGGTTAACAGTTTGCCCCTTTTGTCTCTAGGGGATTGAGGAGCTTAGAGGAGGAAGGTGCCTTCTTGAGCATAGGAGAGTCATGCTAATAAAGAATCCTGTATGTTTGTACAAGTCAACTAATGTGCATTCCTAAGGCAGAGGCCCCTTCGGGAGTGCAGCTGTCAGAATGGTGACTAGCTTTGGGTGCTACAGAAAGGTCAGGGCTAAGGTTCGCCTCCCATGGCTGAGGCCCCTAAGGATGACCCAGCCCCTAATTTTGCACCCAGGCCCAAAGCTAAGCTCCTCCCCCATTTATTTCAGAGGGAGGAAGAGATGCAATAAAGACCGAGGTTTGTCCAGGGGGTAACCAAGCCCCGACCCAGGTGAGGCAGGGGCACAGTCCTGCCTGAGTTCAGGCTCGGCCCACCCATAGCCTTCTGCTGGGAGCAGTAGAGAAGGATTTTCCTGTCAAGCACCATCCTTGGCCTACAGTGCAGGCCCCCATCTTCCAGTCTATGTACCAATGAATTTGACCGACTTCACAAAAGAGCTGGCTAGAGACTTACCACCTCTCACTTGGGCTGATAAATTGACCCTGACAGGGCTTCTACCTCCAGTCTCTCCCTCCTTCCAATGTGTATTCCACATACAGTGACACTAAAATAATCTTTGAAAAGTCCAGTTCCCATGGGTTCATTTTTATCTAAAGTCCTTCAATGACCCTTCACACCCCTGAAACCAGAATTCGTGTAAATCCTAAGCAGGGCATGCACCTCATGTAATCAGGCTCTGTCCCCCTTCCCAGCCTCATCCGTGGTCACCTTCCTTCAGCCCTCCCACTCATCACAATGAACTACACACAGCTCCCTTAACACCACCTGCTTTTCACACCTTGGGGCCTCTGCATGTGCTTTTCCCCCTTTTCCTGGAGTACTCCGCCCATTGCCAACGCCCCAGAAGCCTTCTATGCCCGTCTCTTCCTGTTGCTCTATTCCCCCAGTACCTCGTAGATAGCACTAGGCCGGCCCTCCCAGGTCGTATCGTTACCACGATCCTCATCTGTTTATGTTTCTGACTAGTGAACGGATAGGACCAGATCACATTCTTTGGAGCCCAGTACCTAGCACAGGGCCTAGCTCATTGTTGGCATTCAGAAAATGTTTATTGAATGACAGAAGTTGTAACTCCAAAGGGCCCACATAGAAGACACCCTCAGGGACTCTGTCTAGCTGACCAAGACCCATTTTCTCTGAGAACTGCCCCCAAACACCAACCGGACCATAGGTAGACATTTGACCTGAACTGGGCCAAATGGATTCTCAAGAAAGTGGAATTAATTCCAAGAGAAGCAAATTTATTTCTGGAACCACAACATGTAAACTTGGGAATGTGAACTTTGTGGGCAAGCTTACTACATGGTTTAAACTGGACAGTAGAGCAAGTCACTCTTTAAAGAAAGAAAATGAAGTGGCCCGACAGGGAATTTCAGATGGTTTTCTGATTCCCAAGTACAACCTCTCCTGAGACCATGACAGAGTCCTGTCCTTAGATTCTGGGAGACACCCCTGTTTAGCAATAACCTGTCCTCAAATTTCTGTTCCTTATACAGTCCTTACCGCACTAGCCAACCTCTGCCATTGGCAAAGTTACTTGGGGTTTTTCTCTTCAAAACACTTTGATTTTAATACATAAATTACACAGGGGCATAGATCAGACTTTAAATTACCATACCCATGCAGAACTTGCCACACAATTTACAGAGCCCAGTGCAAAATGAAAATGTGGTTTCCTTTGTTCAGAAAGTACAGTGAAAGGTACTTAACTATAAAGCTTTTTCCTTTTTTCTGCAGTCTCTCTTTTGATTAGTCATGGTGTTTATTTGCTATGTAATGTCTAAGTAAATAAAAATTAAAATTTTAAATCATAAGCATGAATTTTATTATTTATCTATTGTGCAATGCCCATATGGAGAGTCACCAAAATTACAGTCTGCATTTCTTGGCTTCTCCTGGAATATTCATCAAGCTGGAGGGAAGAGATGAGCCCAAGTCTCCTGGGGCACTGACTGAGCTGTTTGATGGAGAATTCTGTCAGGCACGGGATACTTTACAGGGCAAGTGCAGACCCTCATAAGCTTCTGAAGTTCGTGCCCTGAGACTCAGGCCCCGCATGCTTGACAACTGCTGACTCCTTCCCACAGAGCTACACGCCATGCCCTGGCTGGGGTTGAGGGGTCCAGCTAGGCATCTGCCATTACAGCAGGTTGGCTGACCCACCCCACAGCAGACAAGTGAGCCCCAGGGTCTTTAAGCCTCCACACCAGGATGTGCTCAGATTCTAGTGGGCAAGATACTCACTCTCATTGAGTCACCTGCTGAATGTGTCACGGAGCTGCCAGCCAAGGAGCAGATGGCCACTATTATTTTGCCCAGTCATAGGACTCTGCAGAGCATGCACACTTCACCCAGACCCTCCCTGCATGCACACCAGGCCCTCACTAGGGTCAGAGTACAGCAGGGTTCACTGGGTGAGGGAGAGGAAGGCTGGGGCACAGGGTGCTGGGTGGTGGTGGCCAAGAACCCTAGGGAGGGAGGGAGGCTTTGGGAGTTGGCACCATGTGTGAGTCAAGGCTCCAAGCAGGTGGTGCATGCTCCAAAGTCTCATGGGGCTTCACTTACAAAACACACATTCAAACTTAAATTAAGAATTTCAAGGCAGTGGCTACAGAGCATTAAACCACAAGCACCGAGCTCTTCTGAGCATGGAACCCTGTGTGACTACACTGGTTACATACGCCCATGGAGTTGACCCTGTACACACTAGGAATATCCCTAAATCTCTTTAAACAGCATAAGTACAAGAAGTTGAAACAAAAGAAGGAAAACACACTTCACATACATATTAAAGACATTCAGAGCACTCAGATCCATAAGCCAAAAATACCAGACATCTCACCTTGAGGATGAGCTAAAGAACAGATGTCTCGTCTTTATTCCCTTCAACTCAGACCACAGAACTGACCAGATCTGTGGCATGTATGGATGAACTGGAATTAGATTTCTAAGCATTAAGTCAGACTTTATTCCAAAGTATAATGCCTTTAGCTATTCAGAGGGTATTTCTTAAAAGAAGATAGAATAATATCAGAGCAACAAAGACGAGGAAACATAAGTAGTTTCCTTTGCCTTAATAACTTATGCTTTTATGGCTCAGTAGTTCAACATGAGCTTCATTTCCCAGAGGTTATATAAAAAACTTCCTGTTGGGATTGGCTCCAAATAAGGCCTTTCGTATTTCTGGCATCTTTTGCTGCGCTGAGAGCTCCAGTCGGCTCTCTAGGGTATTGGAAACCTTTATTCTCTGATTGCCACTGTAGACCTCCACACCTCCCGCTGCATTTACAGCCAGGTGCACCTCTCGATCGATCTGCACCTTCACACGTTTCTGGGAGACTGTCATGTATTCGGGGATGGCTTTTTTCACCGCAGCCTCGACCAGGAGGCGGTCCTGTGGCCTGCAGCGTACAGTCACCTCGGGCTCCAGCAGCCGGAGCAGGCCCTGGAACACCAGCTTATACAGCAGCCGCTGGTAGGCCTCTGGGTCGGCCGCAGTCCTGGCGAGTCTCAGCTGGGCGTCATTCAGCAGCTCCGAGATGAGGTCATTGCGAGCTCTCAGGACATTTAGCCGGGCCTGGTTCCTCATGGTGGACAACTGGATTTTCTTCTGCTGTTCTATCTGCTTTTCCTTCTTCTCATAATACTCCATAATCTTCAGTCGTTGGGCTTGCACCAGGCGTCCTTTCTCAATGCTGAATTCTTCCTCAGCCTTGGCATCTATTTGTTCGGCCTTCTCAGTGGCTTCTTGCTCAATGAAAGCCATCATGTGCTTAATCCGCTTCTGTACATCGGCGTCACTCAGGGCCATGGCTGCTCCTGGAAGCGGAGGTGGAGGGCGAGCTGGCAGACCCTCTGGTTGCTCCGATCGATTCGGGCAGGGTTTCAGGAGAGTCTCCAGTTCTGCTTCCTTAGCTGTGGAATGCGCGGGGGCAGGGGGAGAGAGTTAGCATCCAAGGGAAGGGAGCCTGGAGACCCCCTATCCACCTCTCATTTCCCGGATGAGGGAGCCGAGGCTCAGAGAGGGAAAGTAACCTGTCCCAGGGCACACCGTAGAAGAAAGACTTGAATCTCCGTTCCCACAGTTCTTTCTTCATTAACTCACCACCTTTTTGTCATCAAATAATAATGAGACAATTAGGGCAGAGCTAGTCCAGAAGTTTCCTAGTCAGTGATGGCTCAATACTCAGAAAACATTCCTACTGATGCGGCAGAAATAAAAATTACAAGAGACTACTATGAACAATTACATGCCAACAAATTGGAAAACCTAAAAGAAATGGGTAAATTCCTAGAGGCATACAATCTACCAAGACTGAATCATGAAAAAATAGAAAACCTGAACATATCTATAACTAGTAAGGAGATTAAATCAGTAATTAAAAACCTCCCAACAAACAAAAGCCCAGGACCAGATGGCTTCATTGGAGAATTCTACCAAAAACTAACAAAAAAAATTAATGCCAATCCCTCTCAAACTTTTCCCCCAAAAAATGAAGAGGAGGAAATGCTTCCAAATATATCTTATGAGGCCTACATTACCTTGACGCCAAAGCCAGACAAAGACACTACAAGAAAACTACAAGACAATATCCCTGGTGAACACAGATGTGAAAATCCTCAACAAAATACTAGCAAACTGAATTCAATAGCACATTAAAAGGTTCATACACCAAGAACAAGTGAGATTTATCCCTGGGATGCAGGGATGGTTCAACATACAAATATCAATCAATGTGATCACCACATTGACAGGATGAAGCATAAAATTACATGGTCGTCTCAATAGATGCAGAAAAAGCATTTGAGAAAATTCAATACCCTTTGATAATAAAAAACACTTAACAAACTAGGAGTAAAAGGAAATAACATCACACTCAACAATGAAAAACTGAAAGTGTTTCCCTCTAAGATCAGGAATAAAGCAAGGATGCCCACTCTCACCACTTTTACTAACATGGTATTAAAAGTCCCAGCTATAACAATTAGGCAGGAGAAAGAAATAAAAGGCATCCAAACTGAAAAGAAAGAAGTAAAATTATCTCTATTCCTAATTGACATGATGTTACATCTACAAAACCCTAAGAATTACACAAAAATAAAATGTTAGAACTAATAAATTCCGCAGTTGCAGGATACAAAATCAGTTGTGTTTCTATACATTAACAATGAATAATCTAAAAGGAAATTAAGAAAACAATCCCATTTACAATATCACCCCCAAAAACCAAAATACTAGGAGTAAACTTAACTAAGGAAGCTAAATACTTGTACATTAAAAACTACAAAACACTGCTGAAAGACATTAAAGAAGACACAAATAAATGGGAAGGCATCCCATGTTAATGGATTAGAAGACAATATTGTTAAAATGTTCATACTACCCAAAACTATCTACAAATTCTATGCAATTTCTAGCAAAGGCCCAATGGCATCTTTTGAAGAAATAGAAAAAACAACCCTAAAAATTCATATGGAAACCACAAAGAACCCTGAATAGTCAAAAACAATCTTGAAAGAGAACAAAGCTGGAGGCCTCACACTCCTGACTTCAAAACATTACAAACCTACAGTAATCAAAATAGTATAGCACAATAAAGACAGACATATTAGACCCATGGAACAGAACAGAGCCCAGAAAGAAACCCATGCGTATACAGTGAAATGATTTTCGATAACGGTACCAAGACTGTGGAGAAAGGATAGTGTCCTCAACAATTGGCATTGGGAAAATTAAATATCTACATACACAAAATCAACTGAAATTGATTAGAGACTTCAACATAAGACCTAAAATTATAAAACTCCTAGGAGAAAACATGAGGAAAGTCTTCATAATATTGGTCTTGGCAATGGCTTCTTGGCATGATACCAAAGGCATTGGCAACTAAAGCAAATGGGGCCATATCAAACTCAAAATCTATGCAGCAAAGAAAATGATCAGAATAGCAATTAAGCAACCTATGGAATGGGAGATAATAGTTGCAAACCATAGATCTGATGAGGGATTAATATCCAAAATATATAAGAAACTCCTACAACTCAAAAGGAAAAAATTAAACAATAGACATTTCTTCGAGGAAGACATAGAAAAGCCCAAAAGGTATATGAGAAAGTGCTTAACATCACTAATCATCAGGAAACTGCAAATCAAAACCACAATGATATATCACCTTACATTTGTTAGGATGGCCATTATTTCCACACACATACCCCCCAAAAACAGAAAATAATGTGTTGGGTAGGGTGCAGAGAAACTGAAACCCCTGTGCAATATTGGTAGGGATGTAAAATGGTGCAGCAACTATGGAAAACAGCACCGAGGTTCCTTGGAAAGTTAAAAATAGAACTGCCATGTGATCCAGCAATCCCACTTCTGGGTGTTCATCCAAAAGAACTGAAAATAGGACCTCAAAGTGGCATGTGCCCCCCTCCCCCCGTGTTCATTGCAACCTTATTTACAAAAGCAAAGAGGTGGAAAAAACCTAAATGCCACTGAGAGCTGACTGGATAAAAACAAACAAACTGCTGTATATACATACAATGGAATATTATTTTGCCTTAAAATATGACAAGGATATCCTGTCACATGCTACGTCACGGATGGACCTTGACATTATGCTAAGTGAAATAAGCCAGTCATAGGACAAATACTGCATGATTCCACTTACATGAGGTATCTAAAGTAGACAAATTCTTAAAAGCAGAAAATAGAATCGTGGTTGTCAGGAGCAAAGGGGAGGGGAAGTTGGGGAGTTGATGTCAATTGGTACAGAGTTTCAGTCGTGCAAGATGAAAATGTTCTCAAGATTCGCTGTTCAACAATGCGCATATAGTTTACAATACTAACAATACTGTACTGTAACTTAAAAATTTGTTAAGACGGTAGATTTCATGTTATGTCTTTTAACACAATAAAAAAAATAGAATGCTGTCCCAGAAAGATGCACCACTCACCAAGCTTGGTGGAAAATGACCCAGTGATGGTGACAAAGACCAGGACTTTGGGTTCAACCTTGCAAACTGCTATTGGAAGTTAAAAAGAAAATTGTCTCATTAATTTAGGATGTAATTTTTTAAAAACTGCACTTCTGTAAACGAGCAAAACATGCTCTGCTGCTAAATAAGACAGGTCAATTAAATGGTTAGAAAAATAAAAGGCTTCCTGCCCTGGCCGGTTTGGCTTAGTGGTTAGAGTGTCAGCCCACAGACTGAAGGGTCCTGGGTTCAATTCCGGCCAAAGGGCATATAATGTACCTCGGTTGCAGGCTTGATCCCCGGCCCTGGTCGGAGCTCATGCAGGAGGCAACCAATCGATGTGTCTCTCTCACATCGGGTCTTCTATCTCCCTTCCACTCTCTCTGAAAAGCAAGGGAAAAAAATCCTCGGGGCAAGGATTAAAAAAAAATTGTTCTTTAATTTTCTAAAAGGCTCCTTGGGTAACCCTGCTGTCACCAGCTTTGGGAGCCACTTGTCAATGGCAGTAGAGAGAGTAGGAGATCTAGGAAGCCCAAGGTTATGTGTATAGAAGGGAAAATGTACCAGACGAACCCTTACCAGTCCGCTGCCAAGGGCCAGCCTTTGCTCTGGCGCCTGGAGTCTGCAGGCGGAATGTGGAACTTGGAACGCACACAGGGACCTGGCAGTGTTCTCCTCTGTGCAGACGACCCTCGCAGGCTGCCCAGGCAGCTTGATCCAAAGAGCCAGGCTGTCACTGGGGAAGGCTGGCCAAGTCGGCAAGAGGAGGCCAAGAGGGATTTCCTTGGCACACAGGCCATGCCGGGGGCTCCCCCTGCGTGCTCAGAATCTCAATTAAGTTGGCATATGGTGGGCTTCAGGTCTGGGATGGGCTCACCTGAACAAAGCCATCAGAGATGGATATGTGTGTGAACCGGGCAGCCAGCTTATTAATTTACTAATGAGAATTACAGCTGTCGTGTTGGCAGATCCTGGCCTTTTCCCCCCTGTATGTGAGTCACGTGGGAAGGCGATCCAAAAGTGGTTTAATGAGAAACCAGAGCAAGCAAAATTTGCCAGATGGTCTTTAAGGGGGCCACACCCACTGCAGGGGCTGGCCCGCTCCAGTGGCGAGGGAGGACATCCCGCCTAGGCCCGTGCGAGGCTGACCTGGGTGTCGCGGGCTTCCGTGGCATGGGCTCCGGAGTCAGATCCTAGTGCCGCACTTTCCATTGTATGACTTTGCCAAAGCAGCTCAGCCCTTGAAACCTCAGTTTTCTCATCTGTATAATGGAAACAATAGCATCCCCATCATAGGATTATTGTGAAGATGAAATAAAAGAAATGAATGTTTAGCATAATGCTAGGCATATAGTTAATTGTCATAATTGGTAGTTATCATCATCATTTCTACCGTACTATTATTAGTCTCTCTTCTCTGCTTAGGGCCTCATCCTCCTCACGATCACTCTGTGAACACAGAGTGCCTGTAACTGATTTGGCTTCCACTCGCTAAAGGGAGTGCAAACACAGCCTAGTCTTGCCTCCCTGTATTACACTTAGTAGCCCTGCCTGGAGTTTGGGAAGCTCCCAGCACTTCACAGCATCTTCACCCGCAGTCTCAGGTGGCCGGTCACATCCTAGTGACGGTGCGTGAGGTTCCCGGATCCCAGGGCTCAGAGGCTGGGTGGAATCACGGTCCTGAACCTCAGTTCTGAGTTCCCTGCCCCCTCTTCTACGCCTGTTTCTAGGCAGCTGATCAGTGCAGGGACCTGAAGGCAGCTGCAAGGTGGGGCAGGGTTAGATCAGGACTGAGCAAGTGTCTCTGCAGGCGTGTGGGTGCCCGAGTAATGT